CTGTCGTACACTCAGCTTCATCAACATCAACATGCACACATATCAAAAAGATCGACGCCGGCCTTGACTGGAGAGTCCCGTGATTTTCACTTCAAAGTACGCAAGCACCAAGTACAGCTTCTCGAAGCAAGTCGTTGTTACCAAGGTGGCTCATGTTGCACGTTCTGCGCAAACAAATGAGTGACAGCGACGCCAAGACTAGACCGAACAGCTGAACAACTCGACGGGTTAAGAAAATGCTTATCGCATTAGGCACACTCTGTAAACTCCAGCAAATATAGTAATAATCACTCGTAACACGTACGATATTCCGTACATTATGCACAGCTTATCACAATCGGTTACTGCTTCTGTACATGGTGCGATGCGAACTGAAAACCAGTATAGTAAAAGCCAACGTTTAAAAACAGTTGCGCAGTATTACTATTATGTACGTGACGCACTTCAGGGGACTCTCCAAGTCACTTTTCCGCTGCAATAACCATCGTACGGAATAACACTCGAGGCAGGCAATATTCTCTGAAACTTCGGCGCATACAAACATATCTGACGACACACGTACTGGACAAGCAATCGCCAACATGACTGACTTGACGCTCGGCACAAAAATTGCGGAGCGCCTCATATCACACATTCTAGCAACTTCGTCATCACAGCCATTGGTATAATGCACATCTCGTTTTACAGGCACTGAACCGGGCACGTAGAGAGGAAACAAAAAAAAAATCTCAAAAGCCCTGGACTTTCTTGCAAACGGACGCGTACATTCAGTAGCAGCCAACGAGGCCAGGTTTACTATGGCATTGCACTCATAGTTTTTCTTCAAAAAGGCGGGAAAAACTTCAAATTACACAGCCTCCCTACGTGCCGGAAACGGAATCTCAGCTCAACCAACGGGGATCCGACAGTCAACCACAACGTCACGTGATAATCTTCTTGCCTGACTTTCTTACTAAAAAATAAAACATATTCGCACGTACAATCAACTATCGAACGCCTCGATTTCCTTCTTAATCTCTCCAACCACAAAACAAAATGGGGCAGTTGGCTTCGGGCAATATCTTACCGGTACACACGGCACATAGACTTTATAAACATTCAGACACCAACAACCAGAAAAGTGGTGTGGGAAAAAGGGCAGATATATGATGTTGCTGTTTTCTTTGTATCTTCGACGCGGAGAAATATAGTGACGAGTCGCATAGGGTCGACCTCCAAGCTAATAGAAAATAATATACGAAAATAATAACGATGTGACGACGCTCTGGCTTTCTAAAAAGCAGCTGATCGACCGAGAGGCTAGGGCACATGACACCATTGAATAACGAGAACACCGACAACGACCGGGGACGAATCGGTACTCTAAGAAAAAAAAAAAACAACGCTTACGAGATTGGGACAAACGGTGGAAACGATTTTCCTGCCCCGCCGCTCCGAGAAGTCACAGGCATCGAGCAACCATCCTCAAATCGTGGTCGAGCAATCAAAAGGGCCAGATGCGACACGCACAAATCAGGTTGTGTATCTTCCACCACGATGAACGTCTCCTCGTGGCCCTCTTTGCAAACTGGTTTCTACGACGGCAGCCAAAGACAAGGATATGTCCGCGACTGCAATTTAAACAGGTGCCCGACGCTTGGCTACGTTATATTAGGTTGTATATGTACTTAGTTTCACATATAAAGTGGCATTCGGTGTCTTGCACCAGATATTGTAAAAAAAAAGCTTTATGAGTGCGTTTGTGTACGTCAGCTACGAGATTGAAAAAGACGCGTGATTCGGCATGGTCGTTCAACGCGCAAGGCGGAAAGGTTGAAATGCGTATGCGAATGGTGTACACTTGTGCATACGAAAGAAACAAAAGTGCTACATGCGCTAGCGACATCCAGTGGCAAGATTAATTTAAATGATCATGCAGGTTTTTTAGGTAACGCCGTCTGGATTAATTTGACAATGCACGGCTCATCGCACAATGCATAGCATATGAAAGTATTTCATAACAATGATACTCTGCCACTTGTGCCATGAGTAATGAACTTAGTAGGAGCAATGTCCTTAAATTCTGCATGTGCATGACAAAACCAGCACTTATCGTAGAAAGCAGCGCCGCTCGAAAATCAAACGTCTTCCGCACAGAATCTCTCACAAATCCATGAACATTTCGCCCACCACACAGTAATAATGTAGTGAGAACGATATTTCCCTCGAATGTGCCGAGTAACAAAAAGCTTGATAGAACGACGCACTTGATTCTCCTGTCAGGCGTAACAGCGAAATTAACTTTCTAGGCACACACAACGAGACATCAAGGCTAAATCTTTTATATAGCCACCTCTTCACTAAGATACGGTTTGGAAATACTACAAATGTTCCGAGATAACACTTGTCTGAGACTGCAAGTATCGGACACTCGCAGTTCAGTGAGTGCCTGAAACCAAAATAGCACTTGCCCAATCTGTATTCGCTTCCTTGCAGGCTGTGCGATCGAAGGTGAGATTTTAAAAGAAAAACAATATTTGATGCAAACCGTGCACGTGCAGTGATGGTGACATTTCGAAACATCTGCAGTGTGCATCCAGGCGACCAAGAACTCAACAAGACCAGAGACACGCACTTCACTTCTCGAGTCTAAACAATAAGGAGGAGTCATGTACGAGCAACGATAGTTCTTGAAAAATGTAATTAGAGCACTCTCTTGAGTAAGCCTCAAGTAATTACGCCCTCTCACAGAGAGCTTCGATAGGCAACATACAGATAAAGCACCCTCATATGCTCGTCACGGTCAGGGTGTGTGATACAGGTCGCGTGTTAAGAACCAGCAGCTACAGTCACAGCATCAACAACAACAGAATGAGTCAAGGTGTTCTTTGCGTAGATAACTTGCTTATCACATGCGACTTGTTGGTGATAAATGAAAGTGACAAACTAAATGGCACGCTGTTCTGTTAATTCTCGCAACGTGTATCGCAATCTCAGCGTAGGAGGAGGAGGAGGAAAGTTTAAGCGGAAAGACACGGAGGTTAGCCAGTTCTTAGACCAACTGGCTACCCTGTGCTGGGGAAAGGGGTGAGGGGAATAAAAGATGATAAATAGAAATAATAATCTCGGCGTAACTTCGTTCGTCACTCGGGAGCATGTGACGAGCGCTGACATCTGAAAATTCCTCCAAATGCCCCCGATAACCTCTTAATCTTTAGTCACAGAAAATTCTGCAAGTGGACTTCTAATCCGGGAGAGTTGATAGCTATGCGAAGCACGGTTTTTGATATTGAGCTCGGCGCACCAACAGTCAGCAAAAGCATGGTTTACCTATACGGCACCTTACTCTGAAAATTTCGTAACGGGCACACAACACCATATCGCGCTTAGCTGTACAACGTACGCGTGTCTATTTAAAAGAAATAAAACTTGCACAACACGAGACAACAACGCACAGCCATGCACTGACAAAGTCCAGAAAGTGACAACTTCTTATCGGGCGCATACGCACGTATTATATTTAGCGAAGGTAAATCACGCGATAACTAACAGGGTTCGATATTTACAATGCTTGAGAGAGTTAAAGAAACCGATAGAAAGTACTACAGTTCCCATGACCAGCATCCCAGTGTCCGGTGTAGCGAACGCTTGTATTACGTCATTTTTTCAGGGGGTATTGGCTTCGCAACTTAAGACAAAGCGCAGGCGTCTGGAATGAACACAAACCTAATTTCAATGATTTTTTTTAATGTCTCGGGGATACCTTACAGGGTGAGCAGTCGTCGTTAAGTTGCCAAAACGTAAGCTTGTCGCTCAGGCCAATACTGCAATGCTAAACGCTCCGCGAATGTTTAACGTAAGATTACAACATGTCCTTTTTTGTCTTTGCAGGGCGAACTCGAGACAGTCGCCGACGGCGTAATACATAAGCATTATTCGGTTTCCAAAGGATTATCAAAAGTGTCCGCGGCGGTTCCAATGTTATAAAAAAAAAACACGTTCACCATACGAATGTAGTCTATTCCTCCAACATGCAGAAAAACGTACGATTACTACAGCTATAAATAAGTAGAGAACGTTCATATACACACGTTAAAGCTTGGTGTCCTCTTCAAGGCATCCAATTTCTTTATGAAATGCATTCATTCTTAGCCACTCACATTCATATACGATTGTATTATCCTGGTCTAATGAAAAGACGGCGCTGTCTGAATCTGATTAAAAAATAACGGTTTCTAGCAGTATGGAAAAGGCTGAATGGCAAAACATTTCAGGAAGTGGTTAATTTACCTAGAGTATACCGTCAAGAACGTTTGAAGGTTACTGCCGTGCTGAAAAGAAGCGTCTAGAGAGGGCGGCCACCAACCCTAGATTCCATTTTTCTGTCACAAGTATATTCACGGGCACATTATCTTGCTCTCTTGCTGTATTGAAGTGATTGCAAAGCGTTTTTCGCTACACGCCGGCAGCTAAAGAACCAGCAGCGACGTCAAAATTTTTTTTGTTCTAAAAAGCCGTCTTTTCACAGCGTTACCGTCTCTCACTTCCCTCTACACTCCAAGCTATATTTGGTTACACGTGCCATCATTACGAGTTGCGTCGGTTTAAAGAAAGCAGGCGTAAGCCGAGTTTCAGAAGAAGCGTGCCTCAATCAATTAGGACCTAACATTTGAATCGTGTCGTGAGCGACAGGATACAAACACACACACGCTTGTACTAATAGACGAATGATGCGAGCTTGGATGAGCATAATTTGTCGATAATGAAAACTTCACAAGAAACGAGCGCCACTGTGCGTTTGCAGCGTAGTTCAGGTCGCACCTGCGAACATCCGAACAATGAATGCATCGTGCGACAAAAAAAAAAAGAAAAATCAACGACACGGGTTTCAGCTTTACAATTCGCGAGAAAGTTCACCGTGATGTTTCCTTCCCTCCATAGTAGAGAAGAAGCGGTGCACATCAGCAATACAGGCAACTGGATTGTCGCCGAAAAAGCATGAGCAGATATCAACACCTTTGTTGAGAATACGGAGAATCGCTTCATTTCACGCTCATTGCCATTATCACATAACGGCTGGAGACGAGAATGAACTCATATTTTTAAAATAATAATAATAACACCACATGCTCGCGCTGCGAATACACATAAATATTTACAATGTAAATGGTGGCAACAAAAGCTACACTTTGCACCACTAACTAGACACTTAGACAAAAAATCTCGAATAACAGTGCACTGATAGGTAGGATAAAAATAAAATAGAGTTTCGACACCGAGGACCAGAAAACGAAAACGTGAGCAAATACAAGAGCACAACGTGGTCACGAGCCAGAAAAATAAAGACCGTTCAAACTCGCATTCTACTTGAAAAAAAAAAAATTCAAGCCACCGCAGTTCATCGCGTGCATGCTTCAAATTCAAGAAATATACATGTAGGTCCCAAGCGGCTGACAAACGCACAAACACACGCAGCACCAGAATGAGCACGTCCGACGAGCCCCGACACACACTCAGTCCCACCAGAGGAGCGACGGAGCGTAGGACGACAGCGGCATGCTCGGATGGTGGGCGTGGTGGTCGAAGTGCAGGGACATGCCGGCAGCGGCGGCGGCAGCGGCAGCAGCCGCAGCCGCTGCGCTGCGGTCGTACGCGTACATCGACGGCGAGTAGGAGTTGACGCTCGAGGACGCTTGCGCAACGCTGGTTGTGGCCGCGACGGCAGGGGTGGTCGCCGTGACGACCGCGTCTACCCCGGTGGCAGCGGGAACGGAGCCGGACAGCGACGCCACGGTGTCGTATCTGGGAGGGCTCGAGGCCGCGGCTGCAGCGGCAGCGGCCGCCGACATCGTCGTGGTCGGTATGGGCCTGGGCAGTCTTGCAGCGGCCGCGGCAAGATGAAGTGGCGCGGTCGTGGGAGCCGGCACTGACGGTGCCCCGGCAAATGTCGTCGAAGGCGGTGGCGGTACTGTACTAGCGGCGGCTGCTGCAGCCGCCGCGAGATAAGGCGACACGCCGGGCGGCGTCCTGGTCCAGGGCTCGTACGGCCGGTGCGGACTCGGCGGCAGCGGGAACGGCAGCGGCATGAACAGCGGCGGCGAGGCGTCGCCGGCACCGAACAACGGTGAAGCGCCAGCGGCCGTTGCGCCGTACAGCGAGTGTGGCAGCGGGAAGGACGACGACGAGGAAGATGAGGATGAAGGGGACGGCGAGTACGGGGACGGCGGCAGCGACGGCGAAGGTAGCGTGGTCAGGCTCACGTCGGCGGGCGTCACGCAGTCAGCTGCACGAGAGAGAATAGAGAGCAACATTCAGGTTGACCCCTGATTCAGGCATATAGCTCTGCAAGACGAACAGATCTCAGCAACACTATAGATAATATCACATCACCCTCAATACATGCCACTGAATCGCAGGTTAAACAGAATATATACTTTTGACTTGCGATTCAATGGTACTTGGGTCATTCGGGGACAACTTGGGACAATCTCCGCTAGAGAGGTTGTAGAGCTTCGTTCAACAGGATACACGAAGGTATATAGGCGAGAATGACACTATGGACGACATTTTAGTGGAAAAACTTTACTATTCCAAATCTTGTCAGGCCATTGATTACGCCACAGTGAACTCTAGTCGCCAGAGCGCATGTAAGGCAAGTGTGACGACACGCCGCAGCCTCGCCACTTGAGTGCCACGTGACTTGACAGAAGTTCAAATAACGGTTGCTTAACCAACTCTTGGTCGCTCAGTCCCACGAGAAATAGCTCACCGTCTGGGCTATCTACGCGTGTGCTTCAGCGCAAGCAACAAGATTGAGCCCTTCACCCAGAAGATACAGCTCGACAGTAGGCTGCGAAATCCGAAGCGAAGGCAAAGTTGCCTGCTCAAACTCGGAAGCAAATGGAGGCCAGATGAGCCTGCTGTGCAGAAACTTAGCGCGGAAGCGTGCCAACGAGATACTGCATCTGATGACATTGCCGTGTACCAAAATTATTTATTAATTTGTAGTACCCTCCAGGCATAAACATTGCAAACGGTGTCGACGACGTCTCCACGACAGAACAGTGTTCATCAGCATCAAAGACGAAACATAGACAACAGTATACTTACAATAAATCATAACTTCAATGAATGACTGTTTGAATATTCAGTGAATGAGCAAGACAAACATAGCTTTTGCTAGCAATAACTAGGTTTAGAAAGCCCAAGTTCAGCCATGTTTTTGCTTGAAACCCGTCGTAATCACCATTTATACCTGCTAGACTAAGACACCTGTCTCGGTATTACTGATTCAGATTTCGTTGAGCGAACACCGACAGGAGCTCAAAATATGAATTAAATGCAAGTGTACAACAAAGGGGTGGATACGAAATGTTTTCGTTCGTTTCAGTGGTCCGACATGGCTTTGTTATCTTCGCTAATCACGGCCCAGAGGTGAAAATCTGCTGAAGTTATCTGTGTGTTTAGCAAAAGTGTTTAACGATTTAGAGTACTTGGTACGCTACCATGGGAAAGCACGAAGCCGTCCCGGGGGCCTCACATTTCATGAGGCAGTGTGGACAAAAATGACGCCGTGGACTAGTTCACCAACAGGACGAATGAGTAGTCACAGAAAGCGACATTCTTTTACGATTGATTGAAGTAAAAAATAATTTAGATGGTCGTTTGAGTGGTATTCTATGGTAGCCACAACACAGAAACTGTTCTTGGAACTTGGTCAAGGCAAGTGTTAAAGTTTTTCGAGAAAAGTTGTGACTCCTTTCCAGTCTTGTAGACTTGTTTTCGCGGCGTTTCCTTAATACCGTATGCCTCATTAGGTGCAAAAAACAAAAAACAAAAACAGAACAATGTGCTAAAGCACAACTTCGCTGATCGACGCTCATTTGTTCTTTTTTTTTTTCGCAGGTTCCGTGTGGCACTTTTCATGAATTTTTCGACCATCGATGTTTGCACGTCGGCTTATGGAACGTACAGGGTAAGCTTCAGCTGGTGCTGCCCATGATTATTATGCGCACTGCCCAGAACACCCGTTTTAGTATAATAAAAACAAAAAGAACGATTAGCGCCGCAGTAGTTTCATTCAATGCGGACACCTAACCATTCAGTAAGAGAATATCATGCGGTTAGTGATTACCAAGGAGACCTTGCTAAAGATAAAAAGGCACAAATAAAAGATTTCAACAGTATAGTTAGCTAAAGCTAGATAAATGTCCCAACGAATGACGCAATGCGCCTTTGGTACAAGAAAAGGGCCCAGACCAACAAAAATCCTCAGTTGCTATGTTCTTGAAGGACAAAGTCGCTTGCAGTGATTTCAAACCAGAGACCATGTGTTAAAGAGATCGTTTAGGTTCTGAGGACGGAATAACTTTTTCATTGCAGTAAGCACAATTGAGAGTAGTTTCATCAGTCTAATAAATAAATAAATAAATAAATAAATAAATAAATAAATAAATAAATAAATAAATAAATAAATGCACAAAGGGATATCACAACTAGTCTTAAAATCAGCTGATTTATAACTTACAATCTATTATCAAATTTCGATAAATTCGAGAAAAAATGCTTTGGGAAACAGCTTACAAATTACGGATGAATGGACGGTTACTTGGGTAGATGGATGCATAGATGAATCTACGTGACGTCACTCTACGCAGCTTATCTGTACCGAATTAGTTGTCCAAGTTGACAAATACAAAAGGAGAAGAATAGAATGAACAAAAACAGCGAGAAAAACAACCACACAAACATCTTGTTTGTCTGAAACGACTTTATTTCTGACAGTTTTCAAAACTCCATTTTCGATCTTATAGCTGAGCTCCAAAGGTACAATTATAAGGGAAACAAGCGAAGAGTTCGGACGCCTCACTAGACAGGAATAGCTGTGATCTTCAGACGACCAACGGTAACCTTCAATCAAATTGTGTTTTAAACGCGTTTGAGGAAGCGAAAAAATCCGACCCTCTGGTTATGCCAATCATCCTTTTTGCACAAACTTCTGATACGTCAGACGTATATTAGATGCCTGAACGTTCATAGTATGTTTCCAGTCGATGGCATCTCGCCGCCTATTCGCATTCTGTCTCTCGTGGTGTACGTGATTCCCCATCACGGACGAGGTCTTCTTCAAATGAGAAGAACGCTTAAGCTGAACACTTTTGTATGATAAAACTGGTCCTCGCGAAATTATCTTCCTTCTTTGCATTTGTACACTACAGTCATCTATAGAACTTCCTTTGTAGATCATATTAGACACAGCGTCTAGGGAAATGCAATGATGCAGCGGAAGAAAGGGTCTCCGCGACATATCTAGGGCACCTTGCTGTCGGCAAGCCTTTCAAGCATTTCGTGCAAGAGCGTTTGCAGCAAGGCACACTCGCCACAGGAGAGCCTACTACGAAAAGATGTGAGGTGACGAGTAGCGGCCGACCAAGACCGCACTGCTCGTGCCTGCAAATCCCAATGCGCCACTCTTCTAATGCTATGCAGCAAGTGTTGAGGTTGACGCGGGAGTGCACAGCATAAGAGAGCATATATTGATAATTTCTGGAGTTTTATGAAAGTTGAAACCGCGATATCATTACGAGGTCCCCCTCAGTGGCGGGCTCCCGAAGTTTCGACGACATCGGGTTTTTTAACGGGTACTGACGTATCAGAATACACATAGTCCTGAAGAATTTCGCCACCATGACAGCGACTCCCACAGCGGTCAGGAACGCGCCCACATCTTTCGCGACCACAGCCGTACACGGTATACCTACAGTAGTACCACGGTTGCTCGACATCAGCGACCAATATGACAAGTCATAAAGCTTTAAGGATACGCGTACCAATGGCGCCATGGATATTATGAATGGCTGATCTACGCGAGCTGGCCACTAAATGAAACCTATTCTAAATAGGTGTAGGAGTATTTGAACCTCGTACTTCTAGGTTGATTGTAGTATATCTGCGAAAATCCGCAAAATGCACAGTGATACATTTAATTGGCACTCATGTTCGACGTTGTCACATTGACTAGTTCTTATACTTCACAAACGGGTAAAACCAACGCGTAAAATACATAAAGTAGTGGCTAAATACATCACGGCTAATATTGTTTTCAAATATTGTTGCACACTGATTGATTGAATTATTGGTTGATTGATAGTGGGGTTTAACGTCCCAAAACCACCATATGATTTTGAGAGACGCCGTAGTGAAGAGCTCCAGAAATTTCTACCATTTGTAGTTCTTTAAAATGCACCCAAATCTGAGCACACGGGTCTACAACATTTTAGCCTCCATCTAAAATTCAGCCGCCGCAATCGGGATTCGATACCGTGACCTGCAAGTCAGCAGCCGAGTACTTTAGGCACGAGATCACCGCGGCGGGGCATGGCTGCAAACTGGCTGTGCAGTAGTCCTTTCAGGTGCCACTACGGTGCACAGATTTAGTGACTGCACCGCGTCCACTGAAGTGGAGACATAGTCGCGCAAGACACGCACAAGAAAAAAAAAAAGAGGAGTATTAAAAGAAAAGAGAGAAACAAGTAACACAAACAATGTAAGATTAGTTGAGCAAAAAAAAAAAAGAAGACTTAAAAACAACGACAAACACAGGCGAAACGGGTCCGTTTGGCAAGAAGATATAAAGTTTCTCTCGGGGCATTCAACTTGGCGGAGTAAGCGAGGCGACGCGTTCTCGCTCTCCGGTGCTACACAAAAGACTCGACTTGAAAAGAGCTGCGCTTGTTCTCGTTTGAGTGAGCCGCTGGCGGTCGGGAGAAAAAGTGTCGCCGCCGACGCAAGCGAGAAACGATGGCACAGGCACCGTCGGGCGCGCCGGTGCGTGACCAGAACGCTTTGGATTAGGTGCCACAGACACAGCGGCCGAGGGTGCTTGCTTGCATTTCTTTGCGGGATATGCCACGCATTCTTCAATAGCTTTTCCACGTACGAGTCGCCACCGAAATACGCCAGAGTAATATAAAGTTCGGAGAGGCTACAGGCTGTGGAATGCAGTCAAAGCAACAGCGGCTTTGAAAATGGTTTTGGTGAGAGACGTTTTAAACAAAACGACCTCGACGACAACCAACGCTGATAGCGCTATTGTACAAAAAGAATAATTTAACTTAGAGCAAGTAATCAACCCACATCGGAATCATGACACTAGTGTAACTATACGACAAGTTCGGTGGAGTCGCGATACCACAGGTTCGGCGGCGGCCACCCGCGTCGCCACAGCAGAGCGTGCCGTAAAGCCCCTGAATAAAATAAGCGTGCCGCCGTGCGTCGGCTGTT